TTCAGCTTTTGGTATGAGCATAGACTTTGCGATTATGGACCAGTCTCACGCCTTGTTTAAAAGTGCCTTTATTGCAACTAACAGCTATCCGCCACAAGCGTATAATTACAGCATTCTGTACCACGGAAACAAGGACTAGTGCTAGCGTGAGGGCATACGGACGCTACTACGGCTGCTCCTCACAAAGATGGGATCCCTCCCTAGCCGAGACTCGGCCAAACAAGAGCGCAAACTGCCAGAGTCGCCGCTCGGTCCCTCTTGACCGCGTTGCGCCTGGAAATCCCCCCCCCCAAGCTATCAATTTTTAGATAGGATTAATGAAAGATACTGATTTCTTTCGGTAAATACCAACGAAACATCACCGATATACAAGCAATACTGACCTGTGCAAGAACAACCCGAACAGAAGTCTCTCGAAATCGTCTTCACATCTACTTGATGATTATAGGGGAACCGCCTAGCACAGTAAGCCATCTAAAGCAATTTATATCTACCAAATCTTTGGCGGTGAAGCTCGAACTCCACAAAAACCGTAAAGATTGTAGAATGAAACGATCACCTTTCGGAGGATTCTCATCATCAACCGTATTCACTGCTGGTATAGGCAGGTTTTCCAAACCAAGTGTAAAGTCGGCCATTTTAACAGAAGATTCCGCTACCTGAACAATATTGTCGAAGCCATAGCCTCTTTTTTTCAAAATTGGTCTTGTCTATTACGAAATACGAACTGCTTGTAATTAATTTCGCAGAAAACATATGAAAGCAGTAGGATGTGGTTGAGCAATAACTCACATGCACAAAGTTTTTCGTCTCTATCACCGGATCAAAGCAGAACAAATCGATCGTCAATTCACTGCCAACTTCCTTCAAAAAAAGATCCATTAGATTTCCACAGAATGAAAAAGGTTGGAAATATGAATTTAGAGATTAGGAGAAGGACAACAAGACCTTATACAACTGCATACCCTAATTTCAAAATGCCGATTCTGCTGAAACTCCTATAAAAGGGGCTATTCCGTGCCCTGATCAGGGCACATCTTGTTTTTGGGAAAATTTCGCAAAACACGACCCTATAAAATTTCTTTGTCTAGTTCTTTGGTGCGATCACACCTCCTTCCCACTCCTACCTATCTATGCTCTGAATTATCTCAACGTCCCACCAAATTTGCACTTTTTCAAAAATTCCTCCACTTTCCCTCAAAACTCAAAAAAAAACTGGAGAGGGGTGGTGTGGAGTATACAGCGCATGTAAAACAGGAAATACCGAAAAAAACAACAACCAAAAACATTTTTTCCAACGGCAAGTATGACCAGTCCCTCCAGCGACCGAACACGAGCTTCCCACTCCTGACTCTGGAGATTCCCTGACAGAGGAACGACCAACGTGCCCGACCTGGACATGGATTAATGGCTCTCTTCCGCGCTGTTAAGCGTTTTCAGGGCCTTTTAAACCAAATCGGTGGGAATTACTCTATTCGACGTCTTACTACGAATGCAACATTTACTATCCACGTTGGCGTTAACTAACGCTACGACTTTCCCACCGACAAGCTGTGAACTTGCACTGAAGGGTAGATGTCAATCATGAATATGACATGCATTTTTAGCCTGACGTCAAAAATAATGTCTATCCGTGACCAAGACCTACGATACACCGGAAATCACTTTTTAGCAGATTTGGTGAAGGCGCAGCTCGAAGTTGAAGCTAAGGAGTGCCACCGACAAAAGTTAATGTAGCACACGTGAGCAGAACCCCACATAAGTTCTGTGAACAGACTTCATCAACACTACTTGGTAATAC